TTGTTGAACTTTGTGAACTTTCGAACGACAAAAGTTATCATCCGATCTGTATGAAATTTATATGCATTATTTGAATTAGTTAAACAAAAAAGCCTGTCGAATTTGAACAATTTCTGTAGATTGCTTACAGAGTTACGGCCCTTGTTTTAGTTTTTAGAACCTTGTGAACCTTCAAACGACGAAAATTATAATGTCATCTGTATGAAATTGTCTATTAAATTCCCCTAATTACCTACAAAAGAATAAATATGTGACAACCCTTGTCGACTGCTCGGACGATTTAGCTGCTGTGGGCGTATGTTTTGTTGCCTGGCAGCCTATCTTTAATTATTGAACTTTAAATATTGTACTTGTTTTCTTTTTTCTGGGCCACTCGATATATAAATATTTGGGAGTTTGTTTTGTATCTACAGATGTAACTTTCTGTTATTGATAGTGCGGGGTTGGATGGCTGAATGGTTAGCAAGTGCGTGCTGTATCATAATACCTGTCATTGAGCCAACTGGTGTGGTTTCAAGTCCCTGGTTGTATGTGACCAGGAGTAGGGTTGCCTGTCCGGCCTCGTGGGTTTTCTCCAGGTCCTCCGGTTTCCTCCCACTGCTAAAGACCCCTACGCGCAAGCGAATTATTGAAATAAAATTAAACCATATGTTAGTCCCGAAATGACCTAGATTGTGTCGAGTGGACATTAAACCCCATTTCTCTCTCTTTCTGTTATTAATATTTTCCTTTTCATTTCTCACCAACTCATCTGGTTATTGACATAATCAGTTTGCTCTGTTTAAAACCCAGATTTAACAATGCATTATACTAATTCATAGCTGCCAGCTGTTATATCCTAATTTGTTTTGTTGTTATTTTATAGTTGAAAATTTCAATTTAATTGTCTTTACTACACTAGGATCTGGAAGAGTTGTTATATTACCTGTGTTCTGGTTGAAGTAAGGGATTAGCCACTGAAACATGGCGAGTTCTTGGCATGCGCCATTTCATGCACGGAACTGTGGGTAAACCACTAAAAACGTCAGCGCTGATTGATTAATCAATGTCTGGTGCCATAGGGTCAAAAGCCACTCATATGACCCCTGACGCAACCTTCCAGTACAACCGGTCAGATCTTCATGTAGATAGGCCATCGAAAGTATCAGTATCTGGTGTGTCCAACGCGAGTGTCAGTAACAGCAGAGCAGCCTCTGTACATGGAATGGAACAGACGATTAATGAACGCCATTGGCACCTGGAACCATACTCTCAGAAAAGCCTGGCGCAAACCAGCGGCTGTGTTTGGTCTTGGTACGACGTTATTAAATCTCCTCTGAATTTTTTCCCAAAGATGTTCAATCGGGTTTAAGTCCGGATTAAGGGCTGGACATTGTTCTGCTGTAGAAATTCCTGAGTATCTGGCAGTGTGGGCATGGGCGTTGTCATGCTGGAAAACCTTGTTTCGATGACGTGCGAAATATATTATGACCTGGGGTCTGAGAGCGTGATCGATGTAGCACACTGCTGTGATGCCTCCTCCTCTCCCTGGACCAAGATTTTGGAACACCACAGGACCCACTCTCTGGTTCAAGTCTATTCCACCCCAAACCATTATATGCTTGGACCTCCCCATGAGTCTCGTTCCATGACACATTGATAAGAATAACGCTGGCCACATTCATTGCCATATTCTGGTTCTGCCATCTGCAGTTGATACGCAATACCGACTCTCATCTGTGAACAGGACAGTTCTCCATTGCGTGTGTCGCCAGTTCTGGTGTTGTTGGGCAAACTGTAGACGTTCACGTCGATGGCGATTTGTGAGGATCGGTCCACGGTAAGGTCTATGGCAATGGATGTTCTCTCTGGTGAGATGTTGGCACACTGTATCGGTACTGATGGGTCTTCTGTGTGTTCGCACTGTCTGATGTGCTGTCTCAGATGCCTGTGTGAAGGGATTCTGCACATGCTGTTGCACAACATGGCGGTCTTGTCGCCTTGTGGTAACCTTTGGTCTACCAGTTAGGGGGCGATCATCCGTGGTGTTGGTGGCCTGAAAGTGTTGCTGAAGCCTGTAGATGGTCCGAACATTTACCTGGAAGTGATTGGCAATGCCTTGGGCAGTGTGGCCAGCGTCGAGTCTTCCATGCACCTGGTTCCTCTGAGCTGTCGTGAGTCGTGGCATGCTGCTGCCGTTGTAGTGTGCATGATTCAACCTGGTATAGGGGTGCATTTTATAGGACTGGTCCCGGTGAACAGCACGTGCAGAATGAGTTACATGAAAATCATGGAGAACACATTACCATCTCAGAAGTCAGGTTGTGTTTTTGGGAACATTTCCTGAGTTTAATTCTGTGTTTGGGAAGGAGCCTTATTGCTCAGGTAAAGTTGGAGATGTGGTCACAAATATACAATAAAAACATTTGGCAAGTTCAATGCAATGCGTCTATTCAGAGTAACATACCAACCTGACATTTCTTTTGCTGCTTAGTATATAAAACATAAATCATTAATAACAATACAAACTATAATAATTTCAGTATAATTTAAAACAATAACATGAATAACAATAAAAAATAAAGTAGATTCAATAAAATATAAAACAATAACTTTAATAACAATACAAACATAGTCACGGTGAATTGATGACTTGATGAACTGTCAATTTGGACAGGATTTAGGCTTTGACTCGGTATTAAAGTCAGCAATTTGGGACTCGACTCGGACTCAATGTCCCGCAATTTGTTCCCACCCCTGGATGAAGTAAAAAAATCCCCAGATGATTATTTCTTCCCCAACAAGACCATCCATATTACAAAATCCAAGTTTGTTCATGCTTATAAAATAAAACTATAAGTAAAGTTACCAACTACTAATATTATTAATCACTAAGATTGCCATGTAATATTGTACATGAGAGTTATTTGTTCTACTACAGTTTTATTAGTATTACTAACATTAAGTATTGTTTAATGGTCGAGAGCGAGACATTAAGTAATATATTGTAACAACAAGAGGACCGTCAGGTCCGAGTGTTTTTACAATATATTACGCAATGTCTCAGCTCGAGACCATTAAACATCTTAAAATACAGACACTCCTTACGTGCGTTTACAGTGAAATACGTCACTCGAGTCTAATATTTGACAAGGTACGATTGGCAAGTTGCCCGTACGATTATTTGAAATAATGGTACGCCAACATCAAAGGGTGACGTCACATCTGTATTTTAATTGTCATTATTACAGGCTTCTGTAGTGTAGAACTGTCACATAAATGTTAACATATGGTAGTGATAGGGTGACCCACCATAAATAAATATCTCCATATATCTCGACAATTACGCCACAATATTTATATATATGCCAAGCCTCAAATCAGTTTCACACAATTATAGTCACTAAATAAACGATCATGTTGTACTTAATAAGCTATGACCATTAATCATGTATAAATAATAGACTGAAAACTGGTTCCAAGAGTCGTCCATAACATCCAGACACTTTTGAGTAAAAGATAGGTTACGTGCCCTTGTTTTGAAATTAGTCTCGCTAAACCAGTCTATCGACCATTCTACGTCTGATTGACAGGTCGGGATAATCAAGACTACTTTTTTACGAAACTTAACAGAAAACTAGTAGTGAGCTTCATTTAGCCATTATAAAACCAGACAATATTTATTACGTTTACATAATAAAACAACAAAGACTATATTGGATAAAAAAAAATACCTCATTAAAATGAACAGAATGTTAAAATTGTTATTTAAATAAAATGTAATTAGAATTGAATTCCAGAAAAAATCTATCTATTGAAATGTAAAATATTGTAAAATGCTTTTTATACGCCCGCATGGAAATGTGGTCGTATATTGCCGTCGCCCCCGTCCGTCCGTCTGTCCATCCGTCCGTCGTCCACAATTTCTTAATTTCTCAGTCTTTTTTCCCTCAGAAAAATTTGGGCAAATTTTTACCACTCTATGTCTGGAAGACTTTGGTTTCTTAGCTTTCCTCCCCCAACCTTTTTCCAAAATTATATTTTCATCCCTACATATTAATCTGTTCAAAATCCTATTGATGTAGTACCTATTAAATTTTTAATAGAAGGATGTATTAAAGTTAATAGAGCAGTGATATTGAACTGCAAAATATGAAAAAATAATGATTTATGTGTAAATAATAACTCTTTGTCATTGGGTGATATTTGGTCATTCATTTTAGTAGATGTTTTAATGTATTATTAAGTAATCATAGCTATCTGATTTCTTGTTTAAATGTTACAAATGATACATCACAATATAGCTAATTTCATGCTTGATATACACATAGACTTCCAAAAGATTTTCAGCATGGGTAAATTTTGACCTTTGAATGAGATAGAAAGTATGAACATATGTCACACAGGATTTAGTGATGCATCAATATTGATGTGTGATAATGACAGTTTCAACATTGTACCGTGAGATTAACTGAATGTTTTCAAGTGATTAAAAGAATACATGGTTTATAACTTTAGAGAAGGAGATAAAAAAGTTAAATGTGGATGTGAAAAAGTTTGATTAGTCTATTGTGTCATTTAGTAAACCTATTTATCTGTGGTAACAATTTCCATCCATTGATCTTTAGAAGTTATACTCACAGTATTATAACCCCATATGGTGTGCAGGGTTTTTATTCTACATACTAAGTTAGTAACCTGGTACAGGCTTATTATTTTACATGATAACCTAGTACGATAACTCCGGTCAATTTATTTATAACTTTTAAGTAATTTACAGTCAAAAAACATGGCCTTTTTTATGGGGGGGGGGGGGGGAATTGTTTATTATGTATTAAGTATAACACTCTTCCCAGTTTACATTAAATTAGCTTTTACTTCGAATTTCTTCTCTCAGATTTTACCAAATGTTAAATATCATTATTTCATTTTAGACAACTTTTGAACTTTAAGGAAAGATTGTTTTGATGAACAAGAACATGTCGACTATGGTAGTTATAAATTATAATTTATTTATATAGGGATATCGGATCGTGTTGTATATCATCCAGCCGTACACAGCGATTCCAACTCAGAAGAGGAAATTCTGTTTGATATGCAATATACAGATGAAGTAGACAAGAAAGAAGATGGAAAAACATACACTGTTGAGGAAGCTGTTGAAGCCATTGGATTTGGACGCTTTCAATTACGGCTTTATATTGTTTGTGGCATAGTTACAGTAAGTTTTATGTTCCCTCTGTATGGGTATTCATTCATCGCAATTTTTGACATATATATATATAATTGTCAGACGGTCATCAATTGACCTCTGACATGAACGTGAAAGAGGTTACAGTTTTTGACAGATCCTTTTCAAATCTGGTGTGGATTATTGGGGTCATGAGAGGACGAACCCTATCCATATTTAACATTCTATAACTTTTTGTTCATGAGTTTGCCAAAAACATTCTGAACGCAGTAAAGGCAACCTTTTTATACGCTCACATTTTCATGTGGATGTATATTGTCGTCGCCCCTGTCTGTCTGAAACTTGAAATATAGGTCTATCTCCCAAAGATCTTGATTCCTTACGAAATTGGCATGTAACGGACCATAACTTCATGTTTAGGGCTCCTGATTGTACGAAAAATCATGTTTTTAGCTTGTGAACACTCTAGAGGTCACAATTGTCATCCGATTTTGATGAAACTTAAAAATGTAGGTTTATAACCCAACCATCTTAGTTCCTTTTGACGTTTGCACATATTGGATCGTAACTTCCTGAATTATGGCCCTTGATTGTTTGAAAAATCATGTTTTTAGCTTGTGGTCCGATTTTAAAACCGTTTAAATATATTACCGTTGAATTCAAATTTCCTAAAAATCGGACCAAAATATCGGGACAAAATGGACGCCCCTCATACACAAAGTACTGTTAAAATATTGTCACAATTTTTATCCGATTTTGATGAAACTTGAAATGTATATTTATAACCCAAAGAAAGATCTTGGTTCCATTCATAACCCAAGAAACTTGGTTCCATTCGATATTCTCACCTGGATTATGGCCCCTGTCTGATCGAACGAAAAATCATGTTTTTTAGCTTGTAAATTCTCTAGAGGTCACAACTTTTATCTAATTTTAAAAACCGTTTAAATATATCACCATTCCACCATAATGAAGGTTGAATTCTAATTTCGGGAAAATTGAAACGGAACTGCACGACAAAATGGCCACTCTTTGTATGAAAATTGTGTAAAAGTCACAATTTTTATCCGATTTTGATGAAACTTAAAAATATATCTTTATATCCCAAAGATCTCAGTCCCATTCGATATTTGCATATGTCAGACCATAACTTTCTGGATTATGGCCCCCGATTGTACGAAAAATAGCTTTTGTTTTTAGCTTGTTCTCTATCCATCTCTCGCAAAATATGGGCGTATCCTGCCTGGCAACCGCTGGTTTAACATATATTGTCAAGCTGGTAAACATGACAGATAAGATTTTTTGAAGGCATCTGTTTGGTCAACATCCAAGTTTTCCTTTTGAATAAGCTGCTGTCGATACATAGCTGTTATGTGTGACTAAAACTGACCATCTTTTACTTTTATAATAATCTATAATCTATTTCCATTGCTACTGTCTCACAGATTTGAAGAGTTTGTCATACCTTTTTATTTTTGTGGGACCTATTTTACGTTTATGATTGCTATTACATTTTTACAGGCTGCTGATGCTCTTGAGATGTTACTACTAGCAGTTCTCTCCCCTATTGTGCGTTGTGAATGGGCTTTAGCAGATTACCAAGTTGCTTTGATAACCACGGTAAATTTTTAAGTAACTTTTATATGTTCACACTTGTTATGGATTTTATTGTCACCTGATCGAGTTCACCCGTTTTCGCTTACAAATTTAATTGTTTTCTGCACATTTAGAACTTTGTAAGATTGTTCATTAGGGTATAAGGATGAACCCATCTAATTTCTGAATTTTAGGAAATTAAATATTTCAAATGTATTTTGCTGACCATTGAAATTTCCTGTAAAAATGAACACAGCTCCTGGGGGAGCCACGATGGCTCAGTGAGTAAGACACTGGCTTGCTAGTCTGGAGGTCGCGGATTCGCTCCCAGTTTTCCCTGAAAAAGTTTAACATGATTTTCAGGTGTGGTATCCCCTTGTCAGTGATGCAGGACAAAGGGTCTGACAAGAACATCTGTTCATTCGGATGGGATGAAAAACCAAGGTCCTGTGTACATATTGGCGTGCACGTAAATGATTCCTTGGCAGTTGGAATTCGATATACGAGTAGACTGTAGAGCCGCAGTCCGGGCAAAATTACTCTCATAGCACACCGTATGGCATGTGCCTGTTTCATTAGCCGTGTCGGAGCAGAACAGAAGGATGTTAAACCCCATTTCATTTCATAACTCCTGGTGGATATTTATTTGCTTTCCTGGCATCATATTTTTTGGGGTTTTTTTTCAGGTTGTGTTTACAGGTATGGGATTAATGGCACCATTTTGGGGATTTTTAGGAGATCGCTATGGAAGAAAAACGGTAGGAGTATTATTACTATATTTCCAAAGTATGAGTTTGCTTAGGCCAAACCAATATAATTTTTAGTTCTTCGGAGTCTTGATCAGTAAATAACCCACCCAATTCCAGACTCGGTATCCCCAGGGCCCAGTGCAGTGGAACGAAACAATACCACTAGGGATACCAAATTCTTGCATGCTGTGTTTTGTTAAAATTTCCAAACTTAAATATTTGTTTTGAAAAGCTTTTGAGAAGAGGTGGGAGGGGGGTGGCCAAATGGTTAGCATGTGCGTGCTGTATCATAAGGTCTGTCATTGAGTCAACTGGCGGGGTTTTGATTCCCCAGCTGTACGGAAATGACCTAGTTTGTGTCGAGTGGACGTTATACCCCATCTCTCTCTCTCTGGGTCTGATTTTTGATTAGACATGGACGACTAGGCTGTTGGTTGGTATATATAGAGCCCCCAACTGTATTTGTAAAGATATGTTTATCTGTTTTGTAGACTATGAGGATGTTTGTAGCGTGGGTTGGATATTTTGGTTTATTGACCTCTGTAACCCCTAATTATACATGGATTTTAATATTAAGGGGTTTAGTGGGCGGTGGCATGGCTGGATCTCCACAAGGGTAGGTTTGCTCTGTTTAGTATTAATTTGTTGATATCTTTGAAAATGAAGAAATGCAAACATTGTTGAGTTCTTTTGAGGGTACCTGCTTACCAATTCATAGTACCGGTATATGTAAAAATCCACTGGCATTTGAAACTTATAAAGAACAGTGGGAAACATTCACATCCATATAGCATTGAAGATGTTACTGTCTATAAAGCAGTTTTTATACGCCCACATTTTCATGTGGACGTATATTGTCGTCGCCCCTGTCCGTCCGTACGTCTGTTTGTGAACAGTCTACAGGTCACAATTTTTATCCGATTTGAATGAAACTTGAAATATAGGTTTATCACCCTAAGATCTCGGTTCCTTTCGATATTGGCCCCTGATTGTGCAAAAAAATCACGTTTTTGGCTTGTGAACACTGTAGAGGTCACAATTTTTATCTGATTTTGTTGAAACTTGAAATGTAAGTTTATAACCCAAAGATCTCGGTTCCTTTTGATATTCCCGCATATCGGACCGTAACTTCCTGAATTATGGCCCCTGATTGTACGTAAAAACGCGTTTTTTGGCTTATGGACCCTATAGAGGTCATAATTTTTATCCGATTTAAAAAAACGTATTATTATATCCCCGTTAAACCCTAAGGACGACTGAGTTCGGATTTCGTGAAAATCGGCCCAAAACTAACCGACAAAATGACCGCCGTTCGTTCTCAAATAGCGTAAAAATATGGTATATCAAGGTTGTGGACCCTATAGAGGTCACAATTTTTATCCGATTTTGTTGAAACTTGAAATGTAAGTTTATAACTCAAAGATCTTGGTTCCTTTCGATATTTGCGCATATGGAATTGTAATTTCCTGAATTATGGCCCTTGATTGTAGGAAAAATCACTTTCGTTTAGCTTGTTTTCTATCCATCTCTCGAAAATGTGGGCGTATACTACCTGGCAGGCGCTGGTTACATTTGAAATCCTATTCTAGTCAATCATTCTATTTTCTAGACAATCTGATTCTATTCAGAAATATTCCTAAATATATATTTTTATAACTGGTGGTCATTTCCCCTAGAAGCTACCTTTCATCAAGTACCAACTGCTTCTTTAGTCTATCTGTTGATTTATTAACTGAATTGACAAAAAATTACAGATGTATGCTCAAGACAGGGTATGCTGATATTCCTAAAAAAAACATCTCTTATTTTAAGAGGTAAATAGTTGAAATTTTGTATTGTGTGCTAATTTAAACTTTCTTTTTTTAAGCTTTGCATTACTAGCTGAATTTTTACCATCGAATCATAGAGCAAAAGTATTAATTACCGGTTCAGTAAGTAATCCATTCATATTTCAGACTTCTGAAAACATATACCTAAGGACTCAGCCTTACCCAATATAAAATTACAGGTTAAATGTAATAAAAAAAAGTCTTGAATTTACTATTCATCAATGTTAAATATTTTCATTTTATATTTAGCAACCTTTTATTTATGATGTTGATTTGTGAAATCCTCACTTTACCAGTAATTGATGTATTGGCAATCAGTCTGTTTACAGTGCTAAATTTCAATGTTTAGTTCAGATTTAACAATTTACTGACATTAGAGGCTTTCTATTTCATCTTATATAAGTTTGCCCAATTTGTCTTTAAGCACACACATTGAAATGTGGTCACATACTGTTGTCAACCCTGTCCATCAGCATATAGTTATTGTCCTTGATAATCTTGTCGACACTATAAAGGCTTACAGATATAATCCTTGAATGTCATTTATCGATTGAACACAGTAAACACACAACAACCATCTATATATTAAACAATTACTGGTACAACATATCAACAAGCGTTCTCTTACCATTTTCAAGCACATTTTTTCTGTCATAGCCTGCGCAATGAAGGCGGAACCCTTACATTGAATTTTTGTATTTCAGATATTTTGGGCTGGTGGATGTATCTTCGAAATTTTTTTAGCTTCTCTTATTATACCAACTATAGGATGGAGATGGTTATTGGTTTTTTCAGCCGTTCCTATTTTAACAGCAGGTTTATTATTACTAGTAAGAAATCTTTCTCACTTAACAAATGTCTGCAGCTACTATCATCATTGAAGTGATGTTGTTGGAACCCATGCTGGGACCCTCCTCATAACTTCCTTATTTATTCTCTCAAAATGTATTGTAATTTATTTGAATGTAAATATGGATGCTTGATTTTTTTGTAGTGTATACCAGAATCAGCTCGATATTTAATGGCTGCTGGAAGAGTTGAAGAAGCAACAGTTGTTTTACAAAAAATTGCCAAAGAAAACAATAGTAGCTTACCAGAAGGAAAATTAGTTAAATCAAAAGAGGTAATTACATGTTAATGTTCAATAAGGCATGGAACATTAAAATAGATCTTTCATCTGTCCGTCTGTCTGTCCATTCATCTAACTATGAAACATTAACTCTGCTTCAGAATTTTCAAACTTGTGTAGATGTTTATTAGTCAAATGTCTTGACTGAGTTCGATGATAAGTATTTCCCGCTCAGGCAAGCACAGATGAGCAATTTGATTTGTCAAGACTTTGAATATGTTAACTCTGATTCTAATTAAGTGAGAGTTATGAAACTTGATGAATTGTTTCATTACATGAGTCCATAATTATTGTAATCTCACTGTTTATGTTTTTGAAATTCAAAGCTTTATGGACACAACACAGCTTGAGGACAGAGTTTAGAAATATTGTTTACTCATGCATTCATCATGACAGTATTTAATCTTAAGAGTTGGCAGTATTGTTCAATAAATCATAATGAAGGCCGAAATATTTCTACATAATATAGTGCCTTAACATATAGGAACTGTGCTAAATACATGTTTTGCCCAGCATGGTATGCATTATACACCCTATTAGAATACTACAATATTCTGTATATGTTGGCAGATATCACAATCTGTGTGATGTTAAACCTAATTTCATTTCGTTTAACTATCTCAATCTCTATAACAGGCTATCTACATGTATATGTTTCTCAGGGATTGGACAGTTACATACTTGTTGAAGAAAGTCAAACTTAATCAGGGATTTTGATTACTTTTGAATAGAAAAGGGTCTTGGTTATTAAGTAGATACTTAATTTATTGTGTTTAAGTTAAACAAATTAAGATATTTTAAGTGATGTTTATTAGAATTCTAAACTTATCAATGTGTCTATAATATGAAAGGTATGTAATGTTCTTGAATATTTGATGCAGATACAATTGGGCCGATTTAAGGATTTATTCTCTTCACATTACCTGAGAACAACGCTTCAGCTGTGGTTATTATGGTTTTGTGCAGCTTTTACTTATTATGGAATGATCTTGGCAAGTGCTGAATTACTTAGAAATGAAACAAAAGGTAAATTGAATTATGCTAACTTCTTACACACAGTTATTTTGATTTGAAATGGATCACATTGAAACATGTGTATATTTAAAACTTAATAGGGAGAGAGAGAGAAATGGGGTTTAACGTCCAGCCGACATAAACTAGGTCATTTCGGGACTAACACATGGTTCAATTTTATTTCAATAATTCGCTTGCACGTAGGGGTCTTTAGCAGTGGGAGGAACCCGGAGAAAACCCACGAGGTTGGACAGGCGACCCTACTCCTTGTCGCGTACAACCGGGGAATCGAAACCCCCCCAGCTGACTCAATGACAGACCGTACACGCGCACGTGCTAACCATTTGGCCATCCAACCCCCCCCCCCCCCCAAACTTAATAGGGTAGTTGACATGGAAATCATATGCTGGAACATGTGTTAAAATGATACATGTTCCTTTCTTCAAGTTATATGTACATACAATTAAATGTTGGTGTCTATGTCTCAAATGATACAAGAATGACTGCACATTTACTTTCAGTGCAAATGAACTCATTTGACCTTTGACCCCTTGAAAACGCCCCAACGGCAGACTGATTGGCAGACTGATTACCACTCGGCATCGTATTCTACGCAAAATTTTACTCTAGAAAAGTTGGGTCTGGTTTTGTGCCTATTTGATGGACACCCCCTCCTCCGCGCTGAGCCTCCGGTCTATTACTTGAAGGTATGAGTAGATATTATATATAGAATGTTTTGTTTTCAGGTTCATCTAAATGTAAATGTGCTTATTTAAACCACGATGATTATATGACAATGATTATTTCAACAGTGGGAGAATTTTTATGTGAGTATTATATAGTCTATATAAAAAGTTTAAACCAAATATTGTATACATGTCATACCCAATAGTAACATCATAATGTATTAAACCTATTAAAAATTGATGCATCTCCATACAGAATTAGAGCCTCTGATCTTTATTTGAGGTACTTTCAATCCATTATAAACTACAATTATGTGACAGTTGGATGAATGTATCTTTAAAAAATATCAGTCTATAAATAGTTCAGTTATGTTCAGTACTTACACAGATATAATAAATTAAACAGTTTGTCAACATTCAGCATTCTCTACAGAATATTGTCAAACAACTCAGCACTTCCTATAAACTTCCTTTAATCAGTATTGAATTCCCATGCCGGAAATTTTGTCTTTGTTGAAATGTTAAATTGGCATCTGTTATGCATGTAAGAACAACTTATATTTATATCATCCGGATGAAGATTACATTAATGCTATGTTGTTGTTTTTTTCTTTCTGTCTTGAAAAATTTTGTATAGAAAATAAAGGAACCTTGTAAACAGTTAAAGCAGATTATTAAGAACAGTTATTGTTGAATTGTGGGTTGTGGTTATTGCATATATTCTGCATACCCCGGTATATTGGATTGTTTCCCCTTTTTCAGGTTTACCTATCAATATGCTGCTGATTGATCGAGTTGGTAGAAAAATTACTGGTGCAGTTAATCTCATTTCCACTGGAGTATTTTTTGCTTTGTTACAAATTCATACCAAAAGATGGATGTTGACAGCAATCCTGTTTGGTGTTCGTGGTTTTGCAGCCGCTACATTTAGTTGGACATATATATATACTTCAGAGGTTGGTGATGAGCTATAGATCTCTTATGCTACAACTGGTTTCACATGAATACACAATTGTTTCATTAAATACACAAGCATTTCATAATACACAACTGACTTCATCACAATAAACAATCGCTTTATCACTATACACAGCTGACTTCACCACAATACACATAACACAATGATTTCATCATCACAATACACATTGATTTCATCACAATACACAATCAGTTCATCACAATATATAACTGGCTAAACCACAACACACAATTACTTTGTAATTAATAAACAATCACTTCACCACAATGCACAATGACTTCATCACAATGCACAATCACTTCATTACAATACTTCATAACAGTGCACAACAACCAATTGTACAAGGTGCAAAAACCTCATAACAATACCCATCTGCTTCACCACAAGATACAGCAGCTTCACCACAAAATACAAGAGCTTCACCACAAGATACAGTAGATTCACCACAAAATATAACAGATTCACCTCCGTGCACAAATAAAATGTTGACAGTGTTTTTGTTATTTTTCACCCCTTATGGGGTATCTAATTTGTATGTGATAATACAAGCCCGCACTACAGCATTGTTGGTTTAATGTGGTTTTCAGTAGTGTACAGTAGATTTCAACATGATTATAGTAAAGCCAAAGTGTCCTATTGTGGTCCAACACCGGTTCATAACACCATAGGTATATAGAAGTCTTATGAATAGTTATTTGAAAGGTTTATAGAATGTGTTTTATTTAAATGAATGTTGTTTTCATAATTGTAGGTTTATCCAACATCGATAAGAACTCTGGGCATTGGCACTGCCTCAGCCTGGGCACGTATAGGAGCCATGATAACACCCTTTGTTGCACAGGTAAGTCTGTTATTACAAAACACTTCTAAACTCTTATCTGTCATTCTAGGAATGCATTTCTAACCACCACAATTATCAGTTCCATTGGTGCAGAAATGTCAAACATTAAATCATATTTATTTTCATTTTTATCTACAATAACTTTTGAAGAAGCATTTTCTGCACCATCATAACACATAGATTTTGTTATTGTCACTGTTCTTCAGGTATTATTAGATTATTCCGTAGCAGATGCTACCTGGTTATATGGTTGTATTTGTGTTATATGTGGTGTGTCAGCCATGTTGTTGCCAATAGAAACCAGAGGAAGAGCTTTACCTGTAAGTTACAATTTTAGTTTAATTAAACATCAGCTTGATTTGTTTACAATTAATTTCAGGCTCTATAGTACAATAGAAATTATAATAGTGATATGTATATCTGTAAAACGCCATCAGCAGTTTAATAAATATATCATGATTAATCAAGATGATATTTACAAGAATCAAGCTGTTACTACTTACTTCCATTAACCAGATACTGGGTCTGCAGAACATCAACAAATCACTGTTTGTGAATTGGCTTTGATCAGAAAAGGATGAATAATCTATAAATTATGAAAACTCTTGACTTCTTAGACATGTTGGTCTGAGTTTCCATCTTTCCATAGGACCAGAGACGAAAACCCATGATTTGAATAGATCGCCCTTGTTTGATTATTAACATTACATGTATATTTTTCAGCAATCTGTTTCAACCTCATCATTTGAAGCAAGTGATCATGACAAGGAGTCAGAAGAAGAAGAAAATAAAGAAAAGTGAAGTTTGATTTTTCTCCAAAAAATATCATGCATTAATAAATTATTGGTAAAACCTATATTTTTTTAGAATATAACTACAGCAATTGTGTTTGCTTGTGATTGCTATGACAATGGGAACCATTTTGTAAACCTAAAACATGCTCAAATTGAATTGAAATTTTTGTCATTCTTAATTGGTTTTAGGTGTCAATTTTGTTATGTATATATATTTCTTTCATTTTATCTGTGATGAAGTGCAATGTAATTTTGTTTATAACTGGTAAATGCCATCATACATCTACTCAGTATGCATACAGCATTTTCGCTCATATTGATATTATTATATAACTGAGCCCTGCATAATCTAAGATATATAACTGGTTTTATATATCAGGGTAAACGTGTTTAGATTATATTGATATTAAATTGTCTTATTAACTATTTTAGACAATTACATTTTAGTAAGAAATAAAGAGTCTATACAGTAATTGGAAAGTCTACTTTTTTAGGTACATTTTTTAAAGCGAGAATTTCATATTTTGTAAGAAAGTCAAAACATAATTATTTCTATGTCTTTTGCTCAATAGGTTGTTAACTCACTATTATATGATCATAGGTATCATTCTCACACCTAAAAATCATTCACCCTGGAAATTATAACACAAGTACCTCCCTTGTTATTCTATTCCCCCCATGGAATAGCTATCTTCAAACCTTTGAATTTGAAGTTGAAAATGATATTTTTGCCAATTTCTAAACTGGCAATAGTGAATTATAGGATTAATAGGATTATTCTTTAACAAGGTAGGACTGTTTATAGATACGATCTATTTTAAGGCTTTTTTTAAAATACATTTTAAAAATATAACTTAAAAATATGAAATTATCGCTTTAAAATATAAAAAATGTATTAAAATTGTGATATCCACAAATTCATATTGTTTTGATGAAGTGGGGCCAATTTGAAACTTGATTTAACTTTAAATATAATTAGAATCTATGGCTAAATTTTAGGGAGAAAAGTTTTTATTTCATAGAGTTTGTTTGTGGATATATTTTAAAATCACTAGACCTCCTTGACTTTGGGTTCAAAATAGAAATTGTTGCTTTCAGTTGATTTTAGATATTGATTTGTTTTGTGGGATGGCAATCATCATTGAAAATTTCAGGACTACAGAAAATTCCTGCATTGATATATAATTGTTAGTATAGTAAACAAAACATGAAACTAAAATTAGTAAGCAAGCTAACTTCTGCTTAAGTTTTTGAAACAAATTAATTTTATCTTGTCTCATCACTAATCGAAATCAGATCAACCCAATTCCATACTTTATTATGGCATAAATCATAGAGGTTTAGATACTTTAATTCCTAGATCTGGTTGTTTTTTTTTGTTGAAATAACTATATATTTTTTTTAGTCGTTATGGTCAATGATGAATCAGACCTAAATATTGATATTTCTTCTTATTGTTAATGATAAGGTCACATCATAATTACTGTACATGGATCATACTTATCTTTGAATCAAGTATCTGTGATTTTATATAATATGTAAAATGCTTGTTACTATAAATAATTATTTTTATATTGTTTAATTCTATTTTATTGGGCACAGAATAGGGCTGTGAATTCAAACCACTATACTTTCTGCTTATTATAATCAGTCCTGCTAAGACAGAGATACTTACTGATTTGAAAGTCATTGATCAAATACAAGGTCATCAACTTATTTGAAAAATGGCTGTCAAATGAATGCAATATATTTATAGATATTTAAAAATAATTTGATAATGGGTGTTTTAAGCCGAAACATTATGAAGATTAATAAACAGCGATTTTTAAAAAATTTATTACTCTCTGCTCTCTCCCCCGGATGCATCATCGTTTGATCCAGCCACTGTTACTCTTTTAAGGGAGTGTTGCTGCCCCCCCCCCTTTCCTATATCATATTTGTGAAAGCCATTAAGAGACACCTATAAATTGTAAGTTCATTATATCTTATCACCCAATAGTGTATTGTACAGAATATATCTCCTGTTTTTTATTTAGCAGTAGTTATTATGATATATCCTAGTAGATCATGTTTCAGCCTGAAATTGGGACATTATGTTGTTTTGTCACACTTGTCTGTCCATCCATTTGCCAACCACATTTGCTTGTTGACGCCCTACAGGCTGAAGTTATCATTATACACAGTGTTTGTGCTAGAATGCTTTTGATTTTTACAACTGAAATTATGTTTGATTACCTGCAGAGAATAAAAAAGTGGAAATCTTTATGGAATGCTTGGACACTTAGCTGCTTTGTGTATGTTTTGTGGCCTGTTGATCAATATTTTTGAGAAAACACATTCATTCTCAAAGAATAATGAATTTGCTAATTGTTATATACACAATAATGTGATGAACAATAATTTTTATATGTTGTCTTTCTTTTTATAAAAATATAATAATAAAACTAAAATTGATAATTAGTTATTATTATCTGCTTACATGTGCCTTCCATTTGCGATAACCACCAATTTAACAAAAATGCTGACAAAGGCTAGCTAGTTCATGTAAGTGCCCTTTTAGTAAATCATAAGTGACAGTTACCTTACATAATTTTATGACAAGATATTGTGTACATAAATAAATATAACTGGATAAATCATACAAATAAGTAGTTCTCCATCCAGCCTGTTAATTTTTGGTGAATTTGTAAAAGGTGACAGGTATTTGTGCAACCTGGATCGAATTTGTCAGAGGCAGGCTTGAACCATTTTTTTAGTGTTTTATTACTAAAAAGTACAGCACTGATGCAGTCATGGGTAGTTTAGTCCTAATTCATGAATAGGCCTACTTAAATCTAAGTTGTTTAAGAATTAATTATGAAATTATATTCATATTTTTAAAACATGTATAATATTTTATAAATTTTAACTATATATGTATTTAAAATCTGTATCTAAATAGAGAAAATTTGTAATACAGAATCTTTATATTTATAGATTTTATCTTGAAAAATTATATTTATAAATTTTGTTGTGAAAATGTATATTTATCAATTTTGTCTTGAAGATTATATTTATCAATTTTGTCTTGAAAAATTATATTGAAAATTATATTTATCGTCTTGAAATTTACACATTTTGAATGATTGGGTCAGTAACTTATATTAGAAAGCCAATACAGACCCAGTAATATTTACATTTGGGGTTGACTTATAAATCTCAAAAACAAATGTCCTGCTTGTTTTATTGGACTTTTGTAGAAACCTAACCTAATACAACATACCAAGAAAAATAAAGGTGCTAACATTTTACATGCCTTGCCAATAAAATATTATAGTTATTTTATATATCATAAGGTCTGTCATTGAGTCAACTGGCATGGTTTCGATTTCCAGGTTGTACATGACAAGGAGTAGGGTCGTCTATCCAACCATGTGGGTGTTCTCCGGTTTCCTCCCACTGCTAAAGACCCCTACGCGAAAATGAATTGTTAAAATAAAATTGAACCATATGTTAGTCCAGAAATGACCTAGTTTGTGTCAAGTGGACATTAAACCCCATCTCTCTGATGTGACGAGTGATAACGGACATACGGGCGAATTTCTGCTAACTAATAATTCCCTGAAGACCAAAAGTTGTTGTGTGAGACTGTGAGAGGATATCTGACAATTCTTAAAAAGAATTGACTGCCACTAGATAAATGAACACCAAAGAAAAACATAAAAAGTCTGTGCATTAGAAATTAGCCCGTATATCCGTTATCACTCGTCACATTAGTCAGTTATATAGAGAGATGACTCGTGTTTTCCTTTGGCGTTGGTCACTTCCGATTCGGGAAACCTGTATTACTCAGCTATCGTAGCAATGATCTCTGAGTTAAAACTATATTTGGAATGTGTTTAACCAGCTCTATAACATATGTGATAATGACTGGCACCAATATTGTCCTTTAAGTAATATGTTTATAGGTATGATCTTATAATAAATGATTATGATTTGGATTCCAAGGAATGGATTTGCCAAATATATGTCTAGTAAAATAACATTAGTTTTATAGATTGTTTACTAATATACTTTTATTATTATTATTATTATTATTATTCTAGAAGCCTTTCTCTAACCACACCAGGACCGTCTTAATACATGGGCCCCATGCTAATCTACATGTATGTATGTTGTAACAGCATACAATACAGTATGTTTTCGATGTTTAAACACTCATTTTGTTGCAAGTACCAATACAATAAATATACGATTCATTTAATCAAACATTAACATTTTATTCCCGCGAGTGGGTTGTTTAGGTAGGGGCCCATATAATGCTGTTTAGACGGCCCTCATGCACACACTACTATTTATTCGAGATAGAATCTCTCATGGTCTGGGAATATTGAATACTCTTTGTTATCTTTTGTTTATTTATGAAAGCATGTATAATATTTCTTGAAGATTTTAAACGCTCAGTAAGCCTTTATCATAACTGGGAGTATAACATTCCAGAAATAAAACATTATTTTATTGTTTATAATGACTTATAATAAAGCCCAAAAAATCTACATTGTTTTGATTTTCTCTGTGGAAGTACATGTATATGATCACGTGTCAAAATGAGATTTACGGAACATACTCTTTTCTGTCTTTTGTCCATTACCTTTCAGAGAACGCCGGGAACTGTTGAAATGGGCTCACTGTTGCTATTACTTTTAGGGGTTTGTTTGGGAAAATAATTGCAAAGCCTATTACAACCTAGTCTGTGTCTTTTAGCCCATTGGGTTTTATTTTGTAGAGAAGTCATATCTCGCGCACTTAAATTGAATGAGTGATGGGGTGACACATAAAAAAGATTTATAAAACGAAAACATAGCTTGTTCTGTGTGAAAATTATGATAGGAAAATTACTATTGCATCATTTGGCTTAGTAACCAGTCATTATAATTTATTATGCCATATTTGACCAATTAGATAATTGAAAGCCGAAACCCAATGGTAGAAAACCATCGAAGCTCTGGCATCAGGCACTCGCTATATTCTTAGAGAGGATACGTGCATTAAGAGAGATACCGTTGAGGTTCAAGAGATCTGGATTGAGTAGACCCCATTGATTTGTAGGAGAGACATATGATGTTGCGTGTTCCATCAGTAAATTAGATCTGCGAATTAGGGGATGGAGAGGAAGACATGTTAATTTTGAGTATTGTAATGTAATCTAAGCTTGTAACCTATGTATCCAGTGCTCGATATAAAATGTAGAAACGAACTGTTGCAGTGTTATTCCTGGTAGATTAATTACTGGGATAGTAAGAAGAACTTTCACAATGTGAGTCCTAATAAAGTGAATAAGAAACAAATATAACCAGAAACAATACTAATATGTAACACAGGGGTGAGTATGCGTCACACGTTGGATGTGGGGAGTTTTTGGCTTATGAAATGAAATGGGGTTTAACGTCCTACTGTTCTGCTCCTAACCTGGGTTAATGAAGACGGGCATACGCCATACAGTGTGCTATGAGGGGAATTTTGCTCGGGCAGTGGCGCTACGGCCTACTCTTATATCGAATTCCAACTGCCAAGGGATCTTTTACGTGCACGCCAATGTGTACACGGGACCTCGGTTTTCCGTACCATCCGAACGACTAGACAGCTGTCCTTGTCAGGCCCTTTTTGGCTTATGTGCTTTGCACATCTAACCAGCGATGCATACCACTGCATAGAGCTACATAGGTCCACAATTCTTCTTAACGCTCTTCTAGAGTATATGAGATTGTTTCTTTCAAAATTGTTTAAATAAATTGTTTGGCTAGTCATAAGGACTAAACAGCACACAAGAATTGCTACTCGAACATTCAAACCATTTAATTACATAGTTCAGCAGTAGTATAATGTGTAAATTCTGCTTCTAACCTTGGGTTGGACCAGTTAGACTTCTCATCTACAAAATAATATCGTTTATAAGATTTCATATTGGTGCCAGGTTTTGCATGTGAGGCAGAATATATGCGGACTATTTCTATGGTACTTGATAATGGGGTAGGCCTATAGCTTATTTTTATATATTCCTATTTAAAAAAAGTCTATTTACTATAAAATGACTCAATTTAGTCTTCGCGATTTCCCGCAAGGATGTATTTATTGCATACCGTAATCTAAGGTTTACTGGAGTTCACTATGCAGACATTAGATCCAAAAACACGTGAAAATGTTTACATGTATCATGTAAATTTTGTGCTACTAATTTTGTGCTACTCAATTTTAGTAATCTTTTGGTCTTTGTTTTCAGAAAGCGAAGCTGTTTTGTGCACAGCTAATTTGGGAGAATACCCGCACGAAGGGCCACAGCCTTTGTTGTTTACATACAAAATGTTCGCTGCTTTTTTGTTTCTAATTGATGAAACGACTTTTGGTAAATTTTGGGAATATTTGCGATACAAGTACAAAACATTAAACATTGTCCTTACCTCAATAATTTCCAAAATCTCCATTTTGTTATTGTCTAGAAAAACAAAAGAGAACAAGTAATAAAAGGTGGAAAACAAGAAAGAGTCGTAGCTTATATAACAGACAAGACAGATACACACAGGAGATAAGAACTAAAATTACATGGAACAAAAACCGTATAGGTAATGATAGACGTTGGAGGTGATAAGAAAACAAAAATGGAAGATTAAAACAAGTAGGAGATGCTAGAAGACTAGAACAAGTGTGAAATGGTAGAAAGCCAGAACAAGTGGGAGATGGCAGAAGACTAGAACAATTAGGATGTGACAGAAGACTAGAACAAACGGGATATAATAGAATACTAGAACAGACAAGGGGTGCCAGAAGACTAGTTCAAACAGGGGATTGTAGAAGAATAGAACAAGCAGGAGACGATACAAGACTGGAACAAGTAGGAAATGGTAAAAGACTTGAACAAGTAGGAGATGGTAGAAGAATAGAACAAGCAGGAGATTATAAAAGATTAAACATGTAGTAGATGATAGAAAACTAGAACATGTACATGTAGGATATGATAGAAGGTTAGAACAGTAGAGCAAGACGTGGATGAACAAAGATAAGAAAAAGAAAATAGATGACTTAGAAAAGAGCTTGAAGTGATGGTGATAGAACAAGTAGATAGAGGACATTAATAATATAGGTGATAGAAGACAGTGTGGGTGACAAAACCAAATAGGAGATGATAGAATACAAGAACGGATGGCAGTTGATGAGTGACAAGAACAAGTAGTGCTAATGACTGACAAAAACATGTATCATGTGATGGGTGACAAGTATTAAATAATGGGTGACAAGAACAAGCAGTAGAAGACTTACGACTGACGTCATATTGTTTGAATACTTTAGTCATATCATCAGCTGAAATACCCCCGGTACCATCCTTGTTTAAGCCATTAAATAGATAATCAGCTTCTTTGATATGTCCGAACTTCTCTTTAAACCAACCAGTTTCCAATTCTTGCTTTGAAATACTTAAATTATCTAAATATTAGGGAATAAATGATTTATTTATCAATTTATTATCGATTGCGTGTCAATGAAGGTATTCAGCTAAAATAAATATTTATTATCATTCTAGATCTATTTATTACCAAATTATAACATTCAACATGTAGGCGTAATTGTAACCTTTTCCCACGAAACCTTTTTGTTGGAAGAGATCTGTATGTCATACGGAACCCAGACTATGCAAGCAACAAAAAAAAGATTTTACAAAAAAAGCTATTTTTTTTATTATTATGATTTTTTTTAGTAATATCTAATTCTTTAGCACTTTGGTATTTTCGGTTTCAAAAATTATAAAATGTGAGTTATGTCATGAGGCCAAGACCGGGACACAGGTGGGTGGGGTAAAATTGTATGTACTAATTGTATCTATACCTAACATTAAAATCACCAATTATTTTTCGGGATGGGGACTGTAAGAACCCCTCGGGACGGTTTTCCAGTATCCAGGCAATATCCAATTTCGAAACCTGTGCCCAATAAAATCTCCTTTATCTGTAAATTACCATGAATGAGACAAAACAACTCACTGTCAGTGTCGAAGGTATGTAACAAATTGATAAATCCTTTTTGGGTAAGATAACCGTTTTTGTTTACATCAGCTCGCAAAAATAAAACTGTAAACGGCACCTCTTTGTAGATCTGAAATTATATTTTTGAAAAGCGTATGGAAAATATTATAATAAATATATTCGGTTATATGAAACTGTGTTATTATTTTATAATCGGTGAGGAAATGTTAACATAGTTTTCGTTTTGTAAAATAGATTTTTTTCGGCACCTTAAAAATATCCACTGCTTTGCGTTTACTGAAATTCTATGGGCGATGTTACACGCATTACTACAAATTGCGATATACAAATTTTAATATATTACCGACTGCCATTTCAAATTGAATTCCTCGGCCTCTACCATACCATTATCTTAATAAATGGATAAGATAGATAATTCAATTAATTCGTCAATATATAAAACAGCAAATTACTCTTTAAAAAGACTGATGTAGTATTGACCATGTTTGTTGGTTTTAATAAATATATAGTTAATTGTGTTATCTTAACTAATCACATCTTAAGTTTTTATGTCATTAAAATAAAATTACCGGGAACTTACTATTTAAATCAAACCTCAGATATAGTTTATTTATGTCGTTGTTTTCAATCACATTATTTTGATCAAAGTCGACCAAGTGAAAGTAAGCATTGGTAACATCCCTTGTCATCTGGGTGATGGATTGCCAAACGGTGGCAAATTCCTTTTGGGTAATCTTCTGGTCACCTATAATATCAACACTTTCTATAAAAATAATTATGGCAATGCTGTAGTATAATGTAGGCGGGACAATTTACAAATCTGACAAATAAAATATACATATAAAAATGAAACCCAAGCCAAAAGAACAAACAAGCTCCTGTGTACACATTGGCGTGCACATAAAAGAATTCTTCGTTGAAAATTGCCGTCATGGCACTTTGTGTAATGTATGCCTTATATCTTCAATAGCCCTATTACTATTAACGCCGAAAAGTAGGAAAATTGAATGAAATAAAATTGGGTTTAACGTCCTACTATTTTGCTCTGACTGGGCTAATGAAGACGTGTACTTTAAGGGGAACTTTGCCCGGATAGCTGCTCTACGGTCTACTCTTATACTGAATTCCACCTGTCAGGGGGTCTTTTAAGTGCGCTTTAATATGTACACGGAACCTCGATTCGATTTTTCGTCCCATCTAAAAGACTATACGTTATCCTTTGCCAGGCCCTCCGTTTTGTACCATAACCATTGATCACCTGTTGTTTCTTCCAACACTCCTGGTGTATGAATGATACTTACTATTCTGGTCAAAGCCATGATAAATAGTTGTTAATTCCGCTAGTGTTATTTCACCATTTCTGTTCGCATCAGCCTTTAGATAAAGCACGTTGATGAGCCCATACACATCTTGAGTTCTGTACAGATAGTCATAGACACATAATAATATCGGCATTCATACATATATTCCAATAATATCGGGTGGTTTGACCAGCACACGAGTTAACCCAGAAGACAGAT